CAAGGACAGACTGAAAGCACACCCATGGCAGACCAAAAAAGATAGATACTGGACAATTTTATTGATTTCATGAATGCTCGAGAGACGGGTGCACAAGTGACTTGTTCACAGGTTCTGTCTGGATAATATATCCGATGTGATATGGAACATAACCCGTAAGAGTTGATTCTACGTAAAGTACTGAGTAAATTGTGGCTATCTCCGCATGAATATCATATGGGCAACAGCTGATCCTGCTCATTGAGATATCTATACCACTACATACTACTGGAACTCATCGTTCGATTGAACGCATAAACGTCTCCAACAACATCTGCTGATTGATATCTATTATCACTAACTACTACGACTACTGGGACTATCGATTAATAAGTTTCAAGATCAATAGTAGGGTTCTTCATATCCGTACTGGTCTTAGATCCGTATTGGTGTTGAAGAAAGATTGTTATCGGCCTAGTACATTGTACTCAGGAAATTGTAGCTATCTCCACTAGTATATCGTAAGGGCAACAGCTGAAGCTGCTGCCCAGATTACTATAGACCACTACCTATAGCTATACACTACTAATGAGACTAATCGTCCAATTCCATGAAGGCATGACGCTTCTGGCAACAGTTGCTGCTGATTGATTCATCGATTAGGGCGATCGTCCTATCGTTAAATTGGTTACATTGTCAGTAGTAAGGTTCTTCAAGTCCATATTGGTCTTGGAGAAAGGCTGTGATCGGCCCATACACAACGTCCGCTCGGTGCAGGCTCAGAGATAGGTCGAAATGTGCGTAGTGAGGCAGGTACACTGACTGCGGCATAGTCTGTGGCAAGCTCATGAATTCCAGCGCACCTTCTGGAGGCGAGTATAAATCCTGCCTCGTTCACGCGCTAATGTGAGAAGTCAGTCCATACTTCGCTCCGAAAGTATCAAATCCATGTGATATCTCGATCTAGCCCTGCTCGCCTGCCTTCCTTCTAATCTAGTCAAGATCGATCGTCCAGTTTACCCTGATGGAGGTGCTCACTCCATCCCACCCGTTGGCGAGCGAGAGTACACTCGGACCCAGGCAGCAATCGGGGTCTTTATTATGTACATGCGGGCAAAGCAAAGGAAACAGGGTCGGATTCCAATCCAACTCCACAAACAAATGAATCGACAGAAGGTTATCGATTAACCAAATCATCCCACGAGCCCATTTTTCTAAATCACTGGTAAAAACCAAATGAAGACGGAATGTCCGTCACCCGAGATGTCGAACCGCAGACGAGAAGCGGGGCCGGTCAATGGAATGGCATCTTCATGAAACTCCCTGGGGCACGACGGATCAGTATTAGCTTGATCTATCTTCAAAACAATAAACTCATAATCAGCATGTTTTGAATTTCATTGAATCTACCAAGAAGAAACAATAATACTTTCAACTTCATGGAATCGACCAGAGAATACATAAATACTTTGAACTTCATCGAATTGACGAAGAAAAACAGAACGGGTATGAGTATGAGACTACATCCTGCAAACTCCATTGCTCCTCCTCTAGTGAAACAATTCTCCAATACTCACGAAGCCATCGACTGCGACGGACATACAAGGCAAACCCGACTCGTACAAATTTTGCATATCCACGGTCTCTCTTCCTATAATTTGTGTCTCTACGTCGACACAAAGTTCACCTCAAATTTGGGTATGGCTCTTTTTTCTCTTTTTTCGTTAGCTACTGAATTACTCTTGGGAGGTGATTGTCAGATATCTTCCTCACCAGGACTCTCTCGTTATCCACGATCATTTGTTGGGACACTAGTGGTGATCTTGTTGCTCTGCTAATCTCTACTATCACTTTGAACTGACATTCATCAAGCTCTTTGATAGTTTCACAGTCCCTGTACCTGAACCGCCTACAATCACAATCAAAGGCTGGTCCTTCAACCGCAAGGAGTGGTTCTGGAATAGTCTGTTCATCGACAGGATAACTCTCTGTCAACCGCAACAGTGGCAGTCTCTTCAAATTTGCGTCTGGCTCTGCTTTCTCGGTCTAATGTCCGACCCAGACCAAATCGAAAGTTTCAAGCGAGCTACATTTTACAAAACAATTTTTTTATTTAGTAGATTAAAAAAATACGTAGCTGAAATGTTGCCATAATTTCGATTATAAATTACTTCAACTACTGGGCCGCGACAGACTTGTCATGTGTTTCATCCGGTTGATAACTATAATGTAGTAGAGAGAATTCAATCTTACCAAAGCAACTTGAAGCTTTGTCTTGACTTCAACTACACCACACAAGATGAGTATTTTGAGCAATTGGGGCTCAAAGCTGGAGCTTAAAGAGATCTGTAATGATAGATTGATGAGACCTGTTGCGATGGAAGTGTGACGAGGACTGTTAGTTCCTCGAAAGCTGCGCATTTGCTTGCAACATGTCTCGTTAAGCCTCGAAGGAAGTTCCTCGATGAAAGATGTTCAAGTCACTGAGGTCATCTGTGATTGGCCTCTATAATTTTGAGTGTGGCTTCCCAAGTACAGTTTATTGACATATGAAATTTAAGAGCATTTTTGCTTGTCCAGAAAACCTCAAACACCAATTACAGACATAATTTACTCACAGATCTCGGTGTACTATAGATGTGTCTCTCACTCTGGACAAAGTCAAGCAGAAAGCATTCTCATAATATTATGTAGATGCAAATGAATCCAAAGCATGAAAATCCAGTACAGAGTGTTCTCATAGTCTGAGTATATCTCCCAGATCTCAAAATATTGACGACTAGTTTCGCATCTAACTTGCAAACTTCACTCACTTGCAGCTGGACTGCATCCTTTCAAACACTTCAGAGCATTTCGGAAAATCATCCCTCGCAATGTTGAACCAGCCCGCATTTCCCCAAGGATTGTCTCATTTGCTTCATGAATGGTCTTAATGATCCTCATATAAAACACTCAGATCTTCAGCATGTGAGTAATATATTTCTCACACGAAAATCTTATGATTAAATTATTCTAAGATAAAAAGAATAATCAGATGATTTTTTTTCATATGGGCTAACAAGTTATCCTATATAATTGTTTTGGATTGTCTTTGACTGAATATACTCTAGACAAAAATTTTAGAACCTATTTTATCTTATTTAATAACACACTGCAATTTATATAATACCTATCTAAATTCAATCCCTTCAAAAGTCACATATTTGGATTTGTAATTCTATCTCCAACTTTGTAGAGTTGGCCGAAAATTCCAAGGTAGTTGAATGATTGTTCGTAGTCTGTAATTTCTTGTGAAACACAAGAAAAAAATCAACAATGGTTTTCCACACCCTCGATTTTATCGACCTTTTGACTGGAGTCTCCGCTACCATGGTGGAAATTGGTGATTACTTACTCCTTGGTTCTGAAAAACTGATTTCCATGCTAGCTTGTAGTGGAGACGAAGGCAATCACCGTATAGTGTTGTTTGTAGTCAAGTCACCATCGCAGTTAGCAACTGCTGAGTCTGTCAGAAACTCCTCCGAGCTCATAGTTCAGGTGCAGTGCATGCAGCTGTTCAGTCTCTTTGCACTCCGCTCGTAGAATCTGAAGATTCAACATCTGTGGGAGAACTGACAGGCTATGTAGATGATCGCCTCCATGACAAGTGAAGCGGCGATGCAAGTTATGACCTGTATTCTCAGGAAACCAGCCTATTTCCTAGTGAAATGTCTTTGCCAAGATCCTTGATGAAATTTATAGTAACTGCACAAAGAGCCACGCTGTATGATAACGACATATAAAGAGTTGAGAAGGAGCACATTCAGCGTTACTGTTGAAGTAGGCTGTGTGATTCCGCAGACAGTTGAAAATTCCGCTGACAGTTTCAACTGAATTTCAATTTTTGAATTTCGTGTTATTGTCCACTAAACTCTACTTTGATGCCTTCGTTCATCAACGGACGGAACCTCTCTTTTACCTTATCCCGTTCATCTTCCTGCAAATAATCTCCGATTGGGCACCTGCAGCATGCTCTCTTTCAACTGCGTTTTACCTTAGATCACAACAACACAAGATGACTTGCTCAATGTAGATCTGGAACATATCATCAATATGATGAAGGGCCAAATTAATGGAAAACACGGATATGTAACGATGAAAGGGTGAGGTTCACTTGCAAGACCTCCGTCAACTCCTCGAAATCATCTTCGTTTGACTAAAGGTCAGGGGTCTTATTCAAGTGAATTCAGGTCGAAAGCCTTCCAAGGAGGTCGAAACAAAACTCGAATTAGTGAGCATTGTGGAAAGTGGGCAAGTAGATCGGCGACGTTCATATATTCACATGCCAAACAAAAATCACTGAAACTCCAATCATCTCACAAAATCATCTACTCCAAATCTCTTTTATCCCGAGCTAAATTATCCAAACTGGATGCATCAGGAAGGATGAGAGAATTCTGACAGTGCGAGACGGAACGCATGGCAAAGAAGTAACTATGGCAGTCCAAGCAGAAGAGGTGCTGCTCTAACGCCTATGGAGAATCGAATGGTGTTGCCCACTGCGCAACCTGCGCTCACAGTCTTCTCAGAAGAAGCTCTTGAATCTGAGCCAAGAGTCAGCTCTCTGTCAAAGCTTCTGTCAGAACTCGTTAGTCCAGGGCTCGTCCTCGTTGCGACCTTCAGACACTCGCAGACGATGATGCCACCTCATCAAGCTTGCCACTACCTCGGAGACCGAAACTGCAATGTGTCCGCCACATCACCTGCCAGGCTGGCTGGGCTTCCTCGCATACGTAGAGTCTCCAAAGCGACCTACGGTCGGGAAGTTGGGATTCCTGCAGCGACACGAACCACCGACCAACCGTGCTCCCGGATAACGGTGAGAAGCGAAGTGTTTCATGACCGGGAGGTTTGTCGTATTAGCATGCGTGTCGGTATTCGGCCACTTTGATCTCCACCTCAGCAGAATCTATGCGCGGGTATGATTACGGTCTCCGGTCAGGAGACACTCTGCCGCGGTATAAGAAGCGATTCCCATTCGTCGACAGTGAGGTCCGCCGTCGCAAGGCTGCTGTGATTGATGACCAGCCCGAGAGGTTTGCACTTTTCGAGCTCGAATTCCCGTCATGCTTACGAATGCCAATTGATTGCTGTGATCTGCAACATCAACGAGTATTGGCTTGATGTTCAGAGCACGGGCGAGTTCTGATTCAGTGTCCAGCGCTGCGTTGGTTCCTTGAGGCCTTGAGGATGAAGAAGCTCGCAAGTGTTCGATTCAACCTTCGAGCTGGCCTCCTGTACACTCACTTGTGGTTGGAATCAGGCCGCGACTCTGCGGTTTCTGCGATAAGATTCATGTATGTGTTGCATCTTATTTCTCATTCTTTGCGAATCTATCTCATATATCCTTCTACTGCTCCTCCACATTTTGCAGAGAATAGCAAACAACAGTTACCAGTAAGAAAAACGATACGAGCTTGTCGTATGGGCGAGATTTTTTCACAGATTCAAAAGAACCGAGACGAAGCGTTCATCCTGTCATTTGATCCATAGCACTATGCACAGTGGAACAAGTAGCGACCAGCTCTCGTGATATATGTCCCACGTCAGGTTGTCATCTCAGCAATTGGCATGCACACAAGATTAGCAACCACATCGTTCAGTCAAATTGAACGAACTCCTTACCTGTGTCCAGATCTTGTGTCCTGTTGGACAAGCTAGACCCTTCAAGGTTATTATACACAATGTATCGCCAGCGGATACATTGACATTCTATGTACTTAAATGACCATGACAAGGGAGTCAGGATGTATTATGTATTGGTGTGTCGAGGTTCTTCTTCCTCGTGGACGTAGGCAGCAAACTCACGAGGAAGACTGTGGCCTCCGAATACTTTTATTGACATGTAAAGAATGCGGAACATATAAGTCCATGGAAACAGCATGCATATCCCTCAGTTTCTCAGTCCCTCTCTCCAACCCTTCTGAGCATGAAAGTTTCAGATCTTGTGACCATGGACTTCCACCATGTTGTTAAAACAACGTAGTGAATATACTTGTATTTCTGAATGGACTAATGGAATGCAAGTATGAGGGATACAATGATAATTTAACTATTTGGAATTGTAAGGAGATATCGCCATCAGTGTCATTGGATACTTTGATTTAAAAAAATGATCTTTTCCTTGGGGGGTTTTAGGCGTCAGTTTTGTTCAAGCAAGTTCCTGATCTCTTTTATTTTTTTGTACTCATTTCTTGTGAGTTCGGCATATTCGAGATAGATAGACATACAACTTAGCGTAAAAGGAATAGGACGCATGAGTGTAATTCTCTTTAACTTAATGTATCATTGTATACAATACGTTTAATTTATATAATATATGTTCAAATTCATTGTGTTTTGGTCATTCTATGCAGAGTACTAGTTGGACCAATTGCATTAATCGTAGCTTTTTCATATGCTGATGTTGTACAGAAAATTTATTCACATAATTGTAAAAAAACTTAATCATTTTCATGTGAGGTAGTATTTCTCTCTGTTCCTCATAAATCATCTACATTTGAGATTCCTGTTACAAGTTTTTATCTAACAGAAGAATTATACTTTTATTTATTATTACTATTAATTTTTATCGAAGTTACAAAAAAATCTGATATGATAGTGTGTGCATTCAAAATAAAATTTTGATTTTATTTCTCCAAAACTCTCATAATTATTTCATTGTACAATATATTACAAGACATGTATATCTATGCAGTGCAGGGTGAAATGGCACTTTTTGAACAAAATCTTATGGAAAGAAATACGTACATGATTTATTGTACTACCAAGGACACATCTGAGTTTTTGGTGCTTAATAAGTTCAAGAACTCTGGCTCTAGGACAAAGAAGAAGGTCTACAGTCTTTGATATTGAAGGTTCTACTATTCTTTGGAAGAAAATTTACGAATTTAGTTAACAGCTCGCAATACCTAGGTGGATTCTTATGTCAGAACCCTTTCAGATTCTGACTGAAGAGTCAGAATCTGAAAGTCAGAGTCTCTAGTGATAGCTTTCTTAGAAATCTGCTGACTTCAATCCCTTCAGATACTCTTAATCTTGTATTGAGAGCAGCTTTTGTCTCAATGCTTTTGCTATCCCAAGTTGGCTCTTGCGCAGGTTCTTTTCTCAGAATTTGGCTGTCCATCTTAGGTGCGGTGCAGGTTTGCGTTGTGCACCTACCTTTTGGCATTCGCTTGTTCCTTCTTGACTCTTGCATCCCGTGGTGTGCAAGTTGCTCTCAATGTCTACTCGCTTGTGCTATGTTGGTAGTATCTAGAGTTGCGCAGTCTCATTTGTTTGCAGGCAAGGTTCAAGGGTGTTTTTGGCCCAAATGCATCCAATGACCCCAAAATACTCTTCTGGCGATGAAAAGCTGGGCGGTGAGACTTCTGTTAGAGTGCTTTTTGACCGCTGCGTAGAATCTCATGTTTTGATTATTTCGATTGACAGAAGCCTTTCGATTGTTCAGTCCGGGTAAAAGCATCAGAATTTCTCTGAAAATGATGGGGTGAGAAAAATTTGAATACACGTACGTACTTGCACGGGTATTTGGACAAGCTCTGCAGCTCATACATCCCTGGTTTGATTTTCCGCATTCTTCAGCCGAGAATCACTGTTTTACGATATCTTGCTTTTCCTGCTCGCAGTCACCCTTCGTTCCTGTTATGGTATACTTCAGAAGGTTTGAAACTAAAGTGGTAAATAATTCTGTGGTTATTAACTTTTGGATGAAGGTCGCAGTTGGTGATCAGTTTATCATGGAGCTTCTACTAGATTTTTTATTGGCACAAAACCAGACACGCCCTCATGTTTGCAAGTAGTTCCTAAAGAGTGAGAGCATGACGCATACGAACATGGAGTCAACTTGGGCGGTCTACAAGGGCCTCAGGCCATTTCTGGAGAATTTTCCTTCACTTTAGGTGTGAACACCGCACAGCACCTGCAAGAGGATCTGAAAAAGCAGATGTACTCGTTGGAGCATCGAGGGCCCACTGCACAACAGAGAAAGCTGCCGTCCACTTGCCGCGGCGCCCTCCCAATGCTGTCATTCTCTAGCTCCAGCGAGCACTTTCTGATCGGAGATATTGCATGTCGGAGTACAATGGGTCAACCCGTACCCCGAGGTGCAACACTCGTTGACGTCTATTGCACTTGATCTGAGCAACTTTCGGTTACTCGTCGCCTACAAAGCTGGTGCTGATGAGATCTTAAGCAAGGCTTTGGGCAGTAGCAGCAATGAGCTGACCCGCTCGATGTGAATGTGGAAAATGCCTTCACAATTTTTCTTATCTAGCAACTTTTTCAGTTCTGATCAGGTCGGAGGAGAATCATCAATCTATGTATCTTGGGAGCTATACAACCATGAATCATGTACACTTCTAGCAGTACTGTCCTAGGTGTCGATCTTTTCTTCAGATCCGGATGCTTTTCACCATACATTCGAGTTCCAGCTCCAGGTAGTATCATTTGTGTCGTGCCTAGCAACTCTAAATCCCTCGGAGGAAATTTGGTATTATTGCATTGTGGTCTACTGACTGCTTTTATTATGTAGCTCGACAAAGGCCCCCTCACTTTGCAGTGAAGAAAGGCGTGCTTACGTTGAAGGATGTGGCCGTCGAGCCTCGTCGTCGAATCTCAATGCGAAATACGCGATGTACAAGCTTCAAATTTTGAAATGACAAATCTCTCTAATTAGTCAGGAAAGAGCTGTGTATTTACAAGTTAGAAGTGCTGTAAATACACTACTTCGCTTTGCCCATGTCGGTGCGAGGCATTCTCTCCCACGTGACGGACAAGTTCTTGAGCAAGTTTGCTCGGAGGCAAGTTCCTGCTGTCCATCGGTGGAGCTCCGTGCAAGTGAACGGACGCTCTCTTGGCCACCTGCTCGTGCTGCTTTCTTTTCGGGCGGAGAGAAGATCGCACAATTAAGTTCACGTTGATAATTGGCGACCAGCCCAGAAACAGAGCATTCCGCCAAGTGCTCCGATAACATTGCTTCGATCGACCACCACAAAACTCGGATCTTATGTACCGTCGTTTCTTAAGCATCTTGACAGAAGGGTCTTCGATTTCATCGTGTCTCCAGTCTCGAAGTAACCGCACGGAGCAAAGCTGTCCGCTTTGATATCTTCCAGTACTTCCTAGTTGTAAATCAGAAGCGGTTCAAGTCTTTCAGCTCTGGAGGCTGAATGCTTGAGTCTTAGAGCAAGTCTTGGAAGAGGCTTGTCAACCAAAATTTTGGGCCCCTTTTTGCCCTCGAAACGATAAGCGAGCCCCATTCCATACCATGTCACGCAGTATCTTTTCGGCACCTTATGTAGCTAAGAGAATCCCACAGGTCGAAAGTAGGATGTGGAAGGGCATAAATTCCACAATTATCGAAGGCTGTCTAGGACCATAATCTGTCTCCGATCCATGGTTATATAACCTGCGATCATATTTATGTAAGAATCAGAACTCAAAATGCTGTGATCGGGGAGCAATCAGAGACGTGCCCATAATTAATGCTTGTTGTGCCATCGGTTCCGAACAAAAGGTTTCTGAAATTAGACAGCCAATCAACGCGTGCTCCAACCAGGAGAGTTTGTAAACCGGGGAACATGGTGCCGAGGCAGGAAATGAAGTTCCAGCATCGACCGTGTTTTACCAGGGCCTTCACAACCTGTGCTCACAGGCCTCGTGACAATATAGCACATCTTTCGGAATTGCCAGTTGTGTTAATCACGAGTGCTGCTTTCTCATGCAGGGAGGAAGACGATCAATTCACTATCACGTATATCATATATCACCTCTCCACTAGCTTTCCCAATGTTCACGACTCTATCATTGATATCACCCTCAAGTGTCATGAGCTCAGCTTTCGAGTACTTGAGCCCAAGACATAATCCAGCAAGCCTATTTACTGGGGCAGGCGGCCGACTTGAGCAACATCCTCAGCACACGGCCGACATACCAATTTTTTGTATGCCACATGCTTTTTGGCATGGTCACATGCCTCCATCCTTGTTCTGCAGAGAATACGAGATATGCAGCGACAAAAACGCAGGACCTTTGCGTAAGTGAAGGCTTTGTTACCAGCAGTAAGAACAATATGCAAGTGCTGCAGAGCGAACTCCACTTTTGCTTTCCGAGGCTATCCTGAAAAGAGAGCTCAGATGCATGGCAAAGCCATGAACGGCCCATGTTGATCAGGGCTATCGATACTCCCTACTTTTCGAAAGTCATGCAATATACCACGGCTGTTGCCAGCCTCATCCTTCCTGAGGCTGAGAAGGATGATCCCGTCCTAAGGTTGACCTACAGTTCTGTACCCAGGCAAAGAATACAAAGAATACGTAGATCGGAATCTGAAAGCGATGAATGTCGTGGATAGGGACAGGTCGGATTGGTGATATAATTACTGCTCTGAGTATCAAATGAAGCCAAGGTTTCAAGGGTCACCACTCCTTCTCGCATGCTAAGAATGCAATATTAAATACCCAATTGTCACCTGTCTCCTGAAAATTTGTCGTAACTGTGTGCAGCATGTCTATGCAATGTATGTTCATTATCTTGTTCATTGTACCAACTTGGACGCACCGAACGACTTATCTACCACAGAACATAGAAGCTTGGAAAATTCAAATTTTCTTTTGACCTATACGAGAAACTTTGAGTTTTCTGAGTAAGAAAAGATCTGATTTAAAATATGTATCATTAGATGGACCTTAATTTACCTTAGATGGACTCAGAAGTTGCGGTTATTTCAAGCGATATTTTCTGGAATGTAGAGCGAAAAAAACGACAGCTACATTTCTCGGCTGATTTCATCTATCGCTGCAACAACCCCTCCATGAAGCCAATTTTTACGATGCATTCCTTCTCTTTCCTCCGTCCCCTTCCTCCCCGTGGTCTATGGTCTTCACCATGTGACACGAAAATATTTTGTACTGCTTTCCTACCTCTTACCTGAACTTGGGAGTCCAAAACCTTGAGAAGAGAAAGGTCTCAAATCCTGGCTATTCCTTGAAGAGAACAGAATTGTCTTTTTCCAGACGTATAAAATCCACATACCCTCCATGGGACTCATACCACTGATTGGGTCTACAGGCTTTTAGAGAAAGAGAGCATAAATGCATAGCACATGTTTCTGCGGCCGTCGATTCTCTCTAGTATTCAGAAGTTCCATCTCTCAGAATGGCCTGCAAACTCAAACCAGACTGCTGACAATTTAGAGATCTAAACTCCTCAAGACTTATTTGATCGTTGAGGAATTCAGACCACTGACCCCACATGTCATCACAGACTCATTCTGTCTAAAGGCTCATGGCGTTAACAGCATGGGCCTCAACTGTCATTCGGAAGCAATACAATGAGATCCACATTTAGATGCACACATTACAGGACTAATAACAGATCGTCTAAAGATGAACCTTCAGTTATGTAATTTTAAATCCGTGTTATTTAGACATATTATCTGCCAGGACATGGACTCCAGATTCAATTCAATTGTACAGTCATATATTCTGCAAAAACGTCAACCGAATCCATCTATGTATTATGCAAGGTATTCAAATGAAAAAGATGGGGTAAAGCTTGATACAATTCATTTTATCGTAAAAGTCGTATATAAAATTATTTGAATTTACTGGAAAATTGTGAAGATGTCAAAAATAGGATTTATTAGTAAAATTCATTCTTAAAAAGTCAAACATTGAATGCTCGGATGTCTCATTATATCTCATATATGTAAGTTATAAAGTGATAAAACATTATTAAAGTGAGGAAAATATATTTGATAATTACTATAAAAATCTTAGTCTACAAATGGCATATTAAGGTAATTATTCAATTTATTAAATTAGTTCTTGAAGAAGACTTTTATAGGAAATTTTCATTTTTGCGTCAAATAAGATTCAACAATCATTTAAATATCAACTCTAAATTTGCTTCACTGATCATTACAAAAGATTATTTATAATGATCAGTGATAATATATGTGCATACTATATAATAATTTCATCTGGAATATACTTTTGTCTTTTGTGGTGGGTATCTACGAGTATTGCGTTTCAAAAAAAAACTCTATTGACGTTAAAAGTGAAAATAATGTCTTCAGTCTGAAACATAAGTTTGAAAAATGGAGTTTGAGTGTGCAATAGTTGTAGTGTAAGACAGACAAGTAAAGTTTACAAAGATCCATAGAGACGGTTTTAAGTTTTTCTTAAAGAAGTTTTAATCTTCATTTCTTATGTTAGTATAATCTTAAACCAAAATTTGAACGATGATAAATTTGTGACTAAAAAGGTTCATAAGTACATGATTTTAATTATAAAATATATTGAAATAATTTCACTATCGTTTTATTATTTAGTCCTACGAAAACTCGACATTATATTACACGTTATGTTTATTATGTTAGCTATATTTTACAAAAATAATTATTATAGTCATGATGAAATACCTCAAAATAACTGTCTACGTTATTATGAAGTTCATTCAAGAAATTTTTTTGACATATGTGGACTTGCAACACATTTTACAATCAATACATACATATAACAGCATAAGAATTAAAATTTATTTTCAAAAATTTCTCCAGATACAAAAATTTAGTATGGAGATAATTGTTCATGAGACATTTTTATTTTAAGAGCAGCAAGAGATTACCTGTGGAGTGTAGCAACGAAAAAAATTTGTCATTTGATTTGTATATCGTTGTTAACATGTGATAATTTTTATGTAGATCAAGCAAGAAATATATAATAAATAAGGCAATTCCAGTCATGGTTGAAAAGAGTTTCATCGATATTGACCGCAAACTCTTTATAGAAATAAGTATTTCGATTGTAATGAAGGGTTTGCAGTTTATGAAGCAGTGATATTAATTAACTTTTTCCTTCTATTATGTAAAGCATGCAAGCCTTCACATGCTTCCTGCAATTTCTAGTCTATCGTGTAATAATCTTCTAGAGGAGTCAAGTTGAGGATGTATCACGGTTGAGTAAGTCTGGTAGAAGCTAAGCAGACCGTTGGTCTTCTGTTTTAAATTTTAGATTGTTTGAATATCCTCAAGCTCTGTGATCTGGGCTTGAGGATATTCAAATTAGGAATTTAGGTTCTCAATTCAATTTTTTCACTCTGTATATGGTACTTTGTACTTGGAAAGATCTAAGAAATTTTATTAAATTCTTAGATCTTCCGCAAACGATAGTAACATACTCATTGTGAGTGCAATTGTTAGTTGTCTTGCACCAGAATAGAGTCTAGATTAATGGAAAACCTCAATAAGTGCTGTTGTAGCAGTTAAAAAGTGAGGACCGTATAGTTCAAGTTGCAAAGTTTTGACTAATACTTCTAAGAACCCAACCTAGAGTAGGCCCACAAAGTGGTGTGCTCTGGAGTGATATTCAATTCCCTGATGCATATAAAGTGCGAAAGGAGGCATTCCTGCATGTTGCGTGAAGAATACTTCACCAAACTGCTCAATCCCAATAGAGTAAACAGTAAATTCAGATTGACTGTTTACTCCACTCAGGGACTAGTCTACACTCGTCCCGAAACTTAAGGAAAGGTGCTCAACATTTTTCGAATTTCCCCCTTAGCTTCTACTTTTGTTACCATCTCCACAGGGTTTGTCTTTGGGCAACATCCAACTTGTTAGTACCAAAACTAGCTGTTCATGATGGTGCTCGTATATACGTCAAAGTATATTAAAAGTAATTATGGCCAAGCGTATGTCTGAATGGACAAGGTTTATATGCCATATTCCAGAACTAGTTGGATTGAATTTCGAACACCAGATGAAAACTTAGATTCCGTACTTGCGAATCAAATGCACAAATAATCTTACTTTTATAAGGAGGTTATCTAATCTATATTTTGCTGTCATGTACAAAATATCCAAGAGTAGACTTCTATGAAAGGATTTTGGCTGGCCCACATGAAAGGAAAGTCACTGGTGACTTCACTTGGCCCAGTTTGGACAATATATTGAATACAAAAAACTATTGCAACATCGTGGGCCAGATTGTACAATTGTACGCTCATAGAGCACATGCCGACCAAAATGTTATCCACTTACATAAATTTCAGCCGGTAAGATTTGATGAGTTGCATTATGCTAGCATCAATAACTTGCTGAAATTAAAAAAACATAACAAATCTACATCTGAGTTCAGACATGCTTCGATTCATGAAATGCAACAAAATACAAGTCTTTTCACCTCCGCGTAGTTTCACCTTTCCGCAATGATTCGCAAACTAAATTGCGTGGTACGCGAATGGTCTTAAACAGATTGCAGATGACATGAGTTGGAATGTTTTGTTCCTTATTCACTTCATATGGTTATAAAATCTTCACTACATAAACGAATGGGTAACTAAGTTACCAAAAAACACTTTGGAATTACATGGCCAAGCCTTATATGTTTGAAACCAAACGGATTACATAAGGCTAGATCAAATAGTATAACAATAGATTATATTTGCCACTCCTTACAAGATATTCAAACTGCGAATCTGTATGTTATGCTAAGATTTATGCTGTATGCTAAGATTTTTTATCTAACTTGATTGTTTTCCTTTAGCGATTCGTAATATATACATGTTGACTTAAAGAATCACAAAGTTCATTGATATTCATGTAAGTTTGAATGAATTTGAGACATTGTAAACCTAATGTAAAGAAAATAAGTTTTCAAAATTTTAAATTAGAAGATAATTTTTGGAAACATTTATAATCAAATTGTAATTTTATCTTAATATGTATGAAAACTTTTTGGCTCGGAAAAAAATTTTATACCGATCACAGTTTCAGGTAAAAATATATAAAAAAATTCAAGAATATTATCTACATATTGTTTCAAATGTTATGTGATTTTTAACATGAAATTATTTCCTTCAGTTCTGTTTTATCTAAATCAAGAAATGTGAAGAAATTTTTTTGTTTGTTTTTGTTTAAGATTAAAAGAAAGTTTCAAGTTAAATACAAATCATTGAGGAAAATTTTTAATTTTGAAAATTTTGATTTATTGAAATTAAAAAAAAATTACAAAAAAATATAAGAATCACTTATAAGAACATTTGAAACATATCAAAAAATGTAATCATTAGGAATTTATTTAAGCTTTGATTAATAAATAGATTGGACTCTGATTAGTTTGTGTAAGACAAAAATAGTGAGCTTAAGTGAGCTTGATTTAAATAGAACAAAATAGAACTTCAAGTAAATAACTTTCTGAAGAAGTAACTTTGTTGAATTCAAACATGTGTATCAGATGTTGACTATGTTGTGCATGCTTTTGATTGTGTATAATATTTCACAAAACAGTCGGAACTTATTTGTATCTAATGCATATCTAGAACATCAATATTTTCAGATTACTCAAAGTTAATATGGACAATGACGATGTTCGAAGAGTGAATAATATTGCATGATCACAATACAACTAACAAGTCACAATAAAAATCCACACGACAATATTTTTGAAGATGACAATGTATTTCTTCTTCTCGTGACTTCATAATATCCACGATCTTTATTTCTGCAAGCATCTAAAATGAATGTACAATATGAATACTAGACAGTTCAAATTACTCTAGTCAATTTCCACTATGAGATTAAATCTAGCTCATTCATATCATATAACTTAGTTTGTTACTCAAGATTTCACATTACCAAATAAAGGTATGAGATCGATTGAAATAGACAGTGGATGATTTGAAGACAAGTTTGATTCCCATATGGTTGGTGCGGGCACTTCTTGCTTATAACGATGGGAAGTAACTCGGGATTTTTTGAAAATAATAATGAAGCGAATGCTCCAGACATTTTTATTCTTGTAACCCGGACAGAAGAGGTCCGATATAGACTCACTTATTATATTTCAATATCATTTGATACATACAGAGTAGTGGCTTCCAGGTGGTGAAGCGTTTGTGCTTGCATGAGTCTCAAGCTACGGTTAGTAGTGAGTGGGGCTGGTGCTCAACGTTCAGTTCAACTGCAACTCTTCGAAATCAACGCTGAGGAGAAAGAGCTGAACGTGAAGGAGTCGATGTAAGATCGAGAAGTGTGCGAGGAAGGTGATGTGAGAGCAATGAGTTGTGTCTCGTGTCCGAAGTCTACTCGAATTCACAAATTGGGAAAACAGGATAGTGTAATAAATCATATTCGTGAACCCCACTCTCCATCGCTTTACAGGTGACACTCCTACCGGGAGCTCGATCAAATTCATCATGAAAGCACGTCGAAAGAGTCGGTGATAGGACAGGAGAACGGGCAAAAACTGTGGTTACGCCTACAGGAGCAGCAGCAGCAGGCTGATCGATGGGCCCTGCGTAGTAGGAAAGGATCACATCAGAGTCGATGGCGGACGTCACCTTGCACGCCGGGATCTTTTGATTTATTCCAGACGGGGGTTCAAGGAGGTTGGAAGAATGGTCCAATGACAGGAGCAGAAATGACAAACTCGTGTGAGGTTGAAACAGCCAGTGTGGGGGTGGGGGTGGGGATGTGGTCAGAAGAGTGGGACAGAGGAAGGGTTACCACTTTTGATGTGGCTTACCGATGGGCGGATGACATTAGCGACTCTTGATGTCACCGGTGATGGAGTTCATGATTTGCATACATGACGGTGGGCAGAAGGACGAACAAATCGTCGAGCACGACAAAGCTCCGTGACAGTGACAGAGTGCCCGACTGGTCGCAGGCAGGCACCTTACGCTGCCCGAAGGCGCCGTCGAGAGTCAGAGATATCCACCCCCGACCGGTTCCTTCGTGGTACAGCCGTGCCGAGGAAGACTCAACGTTCCCGCTATGGCTGGCAATCAGATGGCTGCCGCCGCCGCCGCACCACAACCTGCTCCAGCGCAAGTCCAAATCCGCGAGCAGCCCTGAGCAGAGAGGAGCTTCGCGCACAGCCGCCCTCCTTGCCAGAGCTGGACCTCCGGCCCAAGCAATCCTGCATGGAAGGAAGGGTGCCGAGAGAGCACACTTTCTGCCATGAATCTATTTCCAGACCAGGGCAGCAACCACGAATGCCCTCCCTCGCCGAAATTGAGCTGGACGGAGGGCTGATCCCGAAACTTCCGTCGATTAAAATGGTAGTTTGTGCAGCCATGGGTGACGACGGCCTGGCGTGTGCCGTCGTGTCCATCTCTATCTACACTGCGACGAGGGTTACGAACCTCCACATCGGCGGAGGAATATATAGCCACAGCAGATCTTTGCCGAGGCCCGATCCTCGTCGTTGTGGATCAGGATATGTCGTATGCATCGATCGCAACCCGACTGGCTTGTGGTTCCCATCACCTTCATGTCACCGAGTCTGTCCCTGTCCCTGTCTCTGTCTGCCCCCCTCCACGGGAGACTTGCCGGCCACGTGGACCCTTGCGTCTCCGTAGGGCATACCGTCTTCAGCAAAAAACTGGAACGAACACCTCTACGGCTCCCGTCTTTTCGTTCCACGATTGGTAGTCCACTCCTACATGGCTCCGACGTGGCGCCTACGTGTGCTATTTCGCCGATCGACATTCCCGGGTCAACGAGCACTGCCCGGCTCGTAAACGATCCACGCCAGGAACGTACATGAGGAGGGACGAAGAACCGGAACAAAAGTGGCGCAGTAAATTGCCAGCGACGGATATTATCTCCCCTCATCTCACCTCAGGTCAGAGACCCACTCCAACTTTCGCGATTGCTTGATTGCTTTCGCTTTTTTTGGGAACGGGAAAACCCACAACTGAGGGTACACAAATAAAGAAATAAACAAATAAATAAATACACAACACAAATTCTTGACTGCGACAGTTTCAGTGAAGGTTGCGTTTCTGGTAGAGACATCGTAAAGGCATCCCCACCCCCGTCTTCAATCAGTTTATACACCGCACGAAAGACGATGTTGCCGGTGCTGGACTGCAGATGCATCGAGATACCGTGGGGTCCTGCGATGGCCCACATGACAAACCTCTCACATGCTCGTCTCGTCCTCTTTACGTTTGGCTCGACAGTCCTCTACAGATACGGCCCCTCGCCCCTCCCCATCTCCAGGTATTCTGTTACACGGTTGTCTTCGGGTGCGGTCAACTACAGGCATGGCAATGTTCTCTCTCTCTCTCTCTCCCTCACGGGGTTTAGGGCAGGTCGTGTTAAGTTAAGATGCTCGGCTGATGTGATGTTGTACTTGGAACTACCACCAACTACTTCCTACTTCCTCCTTCCCCCCTGCGGCTGTCGTTCTTCCCGGAGAGATCATCACGTATTTCCGGCGCCAAATCCTACCCACGCTTCGCCCGTGATCCGGCCGCCTTCTTTGAGGCATCGTCTGAGAGAGAGAGAGAGAGGGAACGTGCTGTCGAGTGTGAGAGTCAGAGCACGAATTGCTCGCTCGCAGGTTGATGACTTGCATTTGCATTAGGATCGATGCCTCGGTGGAAGAATTTTCTCGAAGCGAGCAATGGACATGGTGCTCAGACGACACTTTACAGTGACCAGGCTCGTTGACTGGAGAAAGGTCGAAAGGCAAATCGGGTCCGAGCTTTGGTCGATAGTAAGTACTTTGAACAAGGCGACGACGAGGACCCATTTTGCACGGAGGAGGTAAGAAGGTTTGAAGAGAAGAGACCGAACAAGAAATCTCTGATCTGCTCTTCGAGCCACACGCAAAGAAATGTCGATGAGGAGGGCTGGGGGCGTAAGCATTGTAACATCCCGATCTGTAAGCTATTAGACCAGGCCATCTCTTTGTCAACGCCCCAGCAGAAAAGACTCCATGTTGCCCAAATCTCTACAATTGATCATCGCCCGCCCTCGTCGGAAGATACGAGTCAACTATCTTGCAAAAACAAACCAACCATCATTGACAATCCACAACAGAAATGTTCTCAGGGCCGCCTCCATCGTTATCCAAAATGGAACAGTGGGCAGCAGAAAGAAAAATACAGATCGATAAAATTTCAAATATTGACAGATCCTGAAATTTCGAGAACCACTCTTGGCGATTGCGTTGATAGTCGGCTTCAATTGTGGGCCCAAGACGGGTCAGCTTAGAAATGGATAGGATAGACAAAGTCCCACGAACCGGATTACAACACCTCGTATCATACTTCGAGATTCCGACGTGAGGGGCTTAAAACAACAGATTATCCCCAAAGGTGATCCTGAAGGCGAGAAATCGACGACCCTGCCTATCCCTCATTGATCATCCCACCGAAGAACCGAAAGAAGAATCAACATCATTGCGTCACTTCTCTCTCTCTCTCTCTCTCTCTCTCTCTCTTTCTCAAATTAGGAGCTGTAACATACCTCACTGCTTCCGCACTCGATGTTGCTCATCGAGGACCAGGTTTCAAGAAGCTCAATGCCAAGATTGCGCAGTGTGATTCCTCAGGCGAAGGTCGTTTCTTAAGGTGAGTATCCACTTCGCCTACCGACACAAAAATGAAACAACGGGAAGAGAACTTTGACGGCTTCCCTACTCCACAGAGATCCTAGAGAGGAAAGCAGAGGAACGACCAGATCCATGAGACGAACAAGAAATTCGATTGAACAATTTCATTTATGTGTATGTGCATTGATATACAAAGTATAAACATGGCGGTGGAGTGGAAACACCCGTTCCATCCCCAATTCGCCGACCTTTAACTATTCCTCAAGTATTCAAACTGTGACTAATTATGCGTATTGACACCGTCAGATAACTAAATGTGGGCCATCGTGGTGATCCACAGCAGTTCGTGCGTATGCTTTACAGGCATGTGAAGTATTGACTAATACTATCCGGAAAATTCTCCATTTCTCATTTAAAGCCATAAAGGTCGTTCGGCAACTTGGAGATGTTGCGACGCCGATTGGTTTCGTGTGTACAAATCGAGGAGGCCAAGGCTTCGAAATCTTGAGTTTGAAGGCCTCCACTCGGCATGCAGCATGTCGGGCGATACTGTGTTAAGCCTTTATGGTACACGCCTCGGACAAGCTGCCTCCGTTGATGCTGTTCTTAGGTTGAAGGTGACGTTATGATGCGAGTATCTGCAATCGTTCAAATCAGGCGGTAAGAAACGATGACAGGAGCACCAGAAATTTTCAGCCAGCCAATCGCTGAGACCACAGAAACCACAGAAACGATCTTTCCAGCGAGAACAGTGTCGATGACATTGCCCGCCAGGCATTCAGGCAGGAGCCCAAAAGAGAGATGCTCACGAAAAGAACTGAAATTGGGAAGTTCGAGCATGTGTCAATGTACCTGTCGTCTGATGTTCGTGGCATTGTTCACATAACTGGCACTTCGGAAATGCTGTCGAGGCCTGGAGTCCAGGTCCCAGGTCTTTTCACGAGTGTCGGAGCGGGGTGATGTAAAACTCGGACGTGCGATGACCTCTGACTGCAATCGACCTGCGTGCGAGAAGCAGGTTCAGGGTCCTTGGTCACCACCTTGATGTTGCCTTCGGCCAGGATTTTGGCCAGCTGCTGCTTGGAGATGACAAACTTCATGGTTTTGGCGGGTTTGACACCCTCGGGCACCAAAAGAGGGGCGCTTTCGACGACTGCTGGCGATGCGCTGGGATGGGGGAGGAGAAAGTAGACGTGCCCGCGATTCAGAAGAGTGTTCTGAGGCAACATTTTGCCCTGCTGCATGAGCACCAGCGCACTCGAATGGCACACGAAATGGTTCGGATGGTCGTAGAGCAGATCCGCCACCCGAATAGGTCGCGGAAACTCCAGCACGCGCCCATCTGCCTGCAACACGGTCACCACCTGTTTGGCACCCTTCCTGTTGCTCCCGACGGTGTTCCCCATTGCCTTGGCCTTCTTCTTCAACGAGTCCAATAACTGCATGAATCACAATGTGTCTCCACCGAGCCGGCTACAATATATGCCCGCACTCCTCCAACCGATCCGTCTCACTCGACTCTACCCGCACTAACACTAACACCCACACCAACACCAGCTTCAGCTCCCAAGCTGACGGAGGCAGTCAATCGCTCTGCGCAAGAAGGTTCCTCAGAACGACTCATTCAGCATGTCCAATAGGCCGAACCTCACGCATCCAATCGACGACCACCTCTGCCGAATTTGAACCTTCGTGCAAATGCCGAGGCGGGTGGCGAAATCCGACACAGGGAGACACCGATGCTTCTTCGCTGACAGAGCGTGTGGGCAGGAGCAGGAGGCGAGGATGAGGACGAGGATGAGAACAAGAAACTTGCTTCTAGGCGTAGGCAGTTTCTTGGATGATCGACGGAATGCGGGGGATATGGAGAACGGACCAACAAAGTGGCAGAACGAATGAATGAAGGACGAGAGGAAACGCAGTGGGAGAGGGGGGAAGAGGAGGAGATAAATGCGACGAGGAGTGTCAGATGCTTCCACTGATCCCGCCAGTCTCGTCTTATACATGTGGGCGGGGGGGCGGAGCGGGGGGTGTAATCCGGGCACGAGCAGCCGGGCAGCAACAGCGGAAAGGCCCCGCATACCCCGGGCCGCGGGGCAGGTGACAACGAAAATAAACTCCCCTCTCACCACGACAACCGGCACGGGGGAATGACCGGCCCGGGCGGGGCGGTGCCGGATTGGCCCGGACTCCGGTACGGCGGGGTCCTCCTGAAATGTGGGTGACCGCCGGTCGCCGTATGCGCCTTGATTGTCGTGTTGTGAACTTTCCCTCGCCCGACGACGACGTGGGACGGTCAGCCCACCGAGAGGCCCGGTGAGGTCGTTTGGAATCGCCGGTGGTATGGGGCTGCTTTCGCCTTTTTCAAGCCTGTCTTCCTTTGACCGGACTTCCCCTGCCCTTCAATTAATGCTCGCCTGTACTTTGTTGTCTTGAGCCCACACATCCCTTTATTTCCAAGTCAAGTAGCCCCTTCTCCATACAAAGTCAAGACCATACGTTTCTCTATTATTTTTTTCATTTTCATTTTCATTTTCTCGTACTGTTGACCCCTGACGAATTCGTTACTTCCTCAAGGCTATGAAAAAAATGACTTGGTATGAAAAGATGATTGTCAATCCGCTACTTGTCCTAACTTCGCTCTCAAAAAATAAACCAAAATCATTGCAAGCTATAGTGAAAGTTTTCTATCGCATTCTGGAGGGACCACTTACTCGCAGGAAGTGATCTTGAGATGATCATGGTCAAGTGGGAGAACCAGGAGGTTGAGAGTGACGGGAATTCGTGAGTGCATACTTCAGATTAGATACGACATCGGAGTTTTAACGCAAGGGCCACTTTATTTCATTCCTACTCAGGTGGAGGATGAGATCGCTTTTCTCAGGATTCTTAGCAAAAGCACTACCATCACATTTATACAGCCTACTGAGAAATGAACTTCAAAAACTCGAGAGATCATGTATAGCATCAGCACCAAACGGTATCAGAACCAGGAAACAATGTGCAGCATGATGAATCAAAGGTCTTTTACTACTCTTAAAGTAAGAAAAAAAATTAACTCAAAAAACTCAAATATTCATAAAACTAGGAGAGCACATCATCTTACGACTTTGATAAATTTGAAAATTTGAAATATAATAAAAGATGAAAAAATGACCTCAATTTTTCTTTTAAATCCTACGTCTGTAAATTTTAATTTAATATCACTTAGATCAGAATTTTGGAAAAAATATAATTTAATCAAATTGACTCAACCAAAAGATTAAGAAATTTGACGACGTGTATACATTGAATTATGTGTTATTTCAATAGATTTTTATTATAAAGAAACAGTATGTGTCGACCAGTATACGTACCTATTCTATATCGACCAGCATAAAACTGTTTTCTGAATTACATCAGTCGCAAATATATTCTGAAACTTCAATCCTTTTATGTATGTATGAGAAAATATAATGGAAAATTATACTTCAGAATTTCCTTCCCTTTTCAGAATTTATTACAATCGTTATTCTTAAAAAGAGTACTTATCTTTCTTGATTACATTGGATTTTTACATAATATTTTTTTGCATAATATTCATTTTCTTTTTCTGTATGATGTGTTAAGACTAGCAAATATATAAGATTTCAAAAAAAAATTGAATATAACTTGTAAGACAATATATCTCGGGTTTGGATATCATGTGTTAATTTCTTTAATTTAAATTGATGTCAATATAAAATCGATCAAAACATACAAAAAAAAGTTTTGGTAAATCGTCACATTGCTGTAAAATGATGTGATACCATATGTATATCTCAAGAAATATTTTTAACAAATCTGAATTGATATGTCTATTTTCACTGAGACGTATTGAAGGAAGGGGCTATGCTGGGTATATATTTATTAAGATAAAACTTTCTATTAGCCTAGATGTAGTATATCTAATTTTTAGTAGAATTTGGCCGAAATGGATTACTGCCATGAATGTGTCATAAAGATTCAGAATAATTTTCACAGCCCACATTGAATTGTACAGTACCATAGCTTCATATGTAAGTAGATTAACCAAACAATCATACATGATAAGCGTGCTATTCATAATATTCACTTATCTCATAACAAAATCATTACTTTGTTGTGTTGTCACTAAGTCTATCATAGTAAAACCATTTAACATTAATTTGATTGGGTTTAGCTGCATGATTGATTCTATGGAATGTGATAAAAGTGTATTAATGTGCTTGGATTAGTCAATGTGCACTTTTGACTTACCTACCATGTGTGTTTCAATTGTAAATACCAACAATACTTGTGTTGGATAAATTCGTCGCGATTGAAGCACACATTTCTACCATGGGGACTGTTCAATTTCAAAATGGACGTACCGCATGGCGAGTATATTTTAATGCTGAGTTTCAATACTTTAATTTAGAAGTAAGATGGAGGAAAGCTCAATATGATTGAAGTAGAAAATCAAGGGCATTCTTGGGGCAAAATTCTTTGATCTGTTCGTGCGCATCCGAATCTAATTATTTACATACAATCAGGGTTTCAATGTGACGATGAGGCGAAAGAACACTGCATGATCATCCCATGTTTGTATTCGCTCGTATAAAGGTATAAATGGTAAATTAATGTTTCTCATCGTGTTTCGTTGCAACAGTAAAAACAGTTCACGAATTTCCGCCTTTTCGTGTCAATCAGGACTAGTAGATGTCTTTGACCTCATTTCCTCCTTCAAAGTTTGCAGCATAATTCTTAGAATGAGCACGTTGACGTTGAGTACTGTATTCATGCAGTTGGACCACTGAAGCCGCCACTACCTCAATTTAGAAAAAGAGCGATGAAGTATTATTGTTGACTACGTGCAAAGATGGATCTGAGCATTCTTGCGAGACATGCATCGTCAGAGACCATGCCATAACCTGCTATCGTAAGCATGATTTCTCCGGTTTGATATTGTGGGAGGAAATGTATCTCTTATATTTCCCTCCTTATATTTTCGTCAGTGCTGTTGCCTCATTGTCTGCTACTTCTAGTTTAGTTCAGGTTAGGTTCATTTTGTGGGTGCAGTCAAGTATTGATACGGTAAGGATAGTGAATATACACCTGAATATTGGAACTCAAAAAATACCTGGAAGACCAGAGTTGGCATGTGGATTTCAGACGGATGGATCTTCGTACTACAGTTTGCAGCTTAAAGATTCAGTTATGAAGTCTATGCTGGTGCAGCTTATGTCATTGAAAAGTGTCGTTCGTTTCCAGGCGATAACAGACCAGTCAAAACTGTGGAATGAAACCGAATTTTCAGAACCTGTTGTCAAAAGACTGGATCATGACAATACGACTGTACTTTGATTACGACCAACTTCAGTACAGGACTGCCGTATGAACGAATCAATGAGAACCAACAAACGCTGGACGAATTGCAGAGCCAGTGTTCGATATGTCAAGTATATGGATGGTCAAGGCCGAGTGGAGAGCTCGCCTAAGGTGACCATCCTCAGGCCTTACCATGGGTGATGGTCAAACGTGGGTTAGTCTCGTTTGAACAACGGAGATCGGTACTGTACTGTACTGTAATGTTTCACCTTTCGGCGTGTAGGTACTTGTAGGAAATTTCATCTCCAATAAAGATTGTACTGTCCTGATGATTGGTACACACACTATTTAGGACATTTTAGAGGTGAACTGGGTTGGGTGACCAACCACTAAGACTAGAGCAGGGGCTACTCTATTTCGATATTTGTATACTTCCATGGGTCCTCCTATCTCTTCATGGTATTGATGTGGTCCCGGAGCATGTTATTTACAAGTCGAGTTCTGTCAAATGAATAATTCCAAGTCTGGATTTAAACAAATTATTGCCCTGAAATATAACAACTTACCAATTTGACCGCCATAAATAGATATATAAATAAAATTTTCCAATGTACGGAAACCTGTTACATTTAGATCTGTTTGAAGGGAAACAAATGTGCTTTTGGCTCTAGAGGATAGTGAGCAGTCTGACAAGAGGAACTGCAAGTTTCCTCAAACGTAAACACACTGTTACGCTATCTAAGAGGGAGGTCAGAAGTAAATGATAAGACTTCTGCAGTATGTTGCAGTTTCTTATCTCTTCTGCTGGTCTCGACCTCTCTGCGATTTACATTCTAATGCCATCTTGACTTCTGTCTATTAAGTACAGGAGTCAAGTCCCTAGCAGTCAACCGTGACCATTAGATGATGGAGATGGAACATGCACCATTATGGACATCTTTTGGAATGAGGAGGTGTGAAATCTTCAACATGATTGTTCTTCGCTTGAGTAATGCTTTACACTTTGTACGATCGTTGGTATCAAACACGACAACTTCATCTTTTCAGAGACATCTCAGAGTGCAACATTGGTCATTCTTTCACTCAGTGTCTCCATTATTGTTTTCTTGCGAGATCTTTGGTTTAGAGTTTGGCGAACGTGGCATGTATATTGTTTTGTGCTCGACCAATTTCTTCGAGTTTAAGGAACATTCTCAGAGGCTGAAATCTTTGGAGCATTCCCTTCTTAATTGCATATGATATTTTGTATCGTGGGTGCATCACATCTTGGTTCTTTGTTTGATTATGAGCTAACCTCGGGATCTGTTTGTCATGTGCATGAACTTGAAGCGACCGACAAGTTCATGTCTTGCGTAATTCTAGTTCCGTAGCGACCGTAGTTCTTGTCTTATGACACAGTACACATCAGACGACAGCAGTGCAAACCTACATCCGCCATTCAACTTCACGGTCCAGCATGGTCGTTTACAAGCCATTTTCGTTCCTTCGAAGCCAAGGTTTTCTTTTGTCGAGAATGCGTGAACATGGCACGACTATCCTCCTGATGACCCGAGTTGTCCAATTCATAAGATATTTCTTCTCATTCAGTTGTGTGATTCGACCCTTTTGCACATTTTTCTGGACTGAGACTTGAAAAAATACTCTTTCCAAATTCAATCAACCCAACAAAAAATCCACGAATGGTGAACAAACACGAGTCTTGGAACTACAGTGCTAGATTGAGGTTTTGTATAGACATAGATTTGACCTTTTTTGGTTGGGATTATCAAAGTTCCATGAAAAGACTGTTTCATCAAGGAAAAAGTGCAGTTGAATCTTTCGATTTATCTCAACGCTCTAGTTCATATATCATTGCTTTGGTGAGTCATAAACTGGAACAATCGACTGGGTTGTCGGATTTTAATAAGATGGAAAAGGCTGCGAGCGACTAGAAAGCGCGTTTCTCCTTTTATTGAGACTGTCTTGCTGGCAGAGGTCAGGGATAGCATATCTGAAATGACATGATAAATTAAGCTGTTTTATAATCTTCTTATAAAAGAAATCACAAAAAGTATCAGAACTTTCCCTTGAAGGCATCTACGACGAAACTGCGTCTTATTCACTTTGTTCAGTCGGTTCTTTCCAAATCCTAATCTCGATAAAAAAAATCCATGTATTTCTATGGAAGCACTTTGATTCAATGGTTCAGATGTCCATCCAGTCCAGATGATATCGATATGAGGTTAAATTTTAGTTAAGTCTTTGAAAGATATTATTCATCTATATTTATTAAAAGAAATTCACATCATATGATAGATAGATTCCAGTACTTACTTATGGAAATTTGTCAAGAAAGAAAGTTTCAATGGCACTGTCTCTTTGTTTCACAATGCTCTTAAATGTAATGCGTTTCAATACAATATGTTGGTTTCAATAATATTACCATTATTTAAGATGAATGGGTTATTGTTCAGCTGAAACCTCATAACATGCGTAAAAAATTGATAAATGTTCATCTGAACTTTGGACATAGCTCTTGATCATCATGCTACGATCAAAAGCAGTTGATTCTAGTTTGTGCTAGTTTGTACAGAGTTTGTAGAGGATCTGAACGAATCCACCATCAAGACAAGAAAAACCTTCTCAATGCACAGAATCTACGAAACATTTGGAAGATCCAAACAAAATGGGAAGAATAGATTTAAGGTGGGTGGTCTAAACGTGATCTATCTCGATGTCGTGAACATCTGAACCGCGCCCTGACGCTTGAGGAACATTCGAGGCAGTGAAGTCGTAGGATGCAATTGCTTGCAGAGGCGTATATGGGGGAGTCTCAGGAGGAAAGTCCAAAGCTTATCGGATTCCATGCGCCGCTGCCTGGAACAGTATCATGGTGATCACTTACAAGCTCCCATGATTTCTGCAGCATTTTGCGTGAGAGTTGACGATGAACCTGAATTTGCTCGCCACCACCCAAGCGACGACGGTTCACACGTCCGAAGCTTTGCCGGATTTGAGGCCCTCATCTGCATAGTGCTCTTTGACTCTCCACTCACTTCGTCACAATCGCTAAGGTCACGTCCCACAACAAACTCCGCCGAAGAATTTGATTCCTACATAATTATGCCAAGGTATCAGACGTTGGATTCTCCTGAATTGGATGGGCTTCATTGGCTGCTGTACATCAGAATTACGGTGGATCGGTCTTTCGGCATCATCAATTACAGTTACGTTCATTCGGCGTTGACGCTGTGCATGAGGTTCTCATTCTTCGAGAAATTTTGGTGTGAACGCACGAGAAAAGATCAACATGGAACCCACCTCCCCGGGAATGGCACATGGAACCCTTCAGGGATGTCCATCTCCTGAGTTATATCATCCTGTGAAAGGGAAAGGGAGCGAAACGAGACGAAAGAAAGAAACTCGAACTGCAAGTTGAATCACGAACTCGATCCTGTCTGCGCCTCAGATCCATATCACACTAGAAGCAACCGGAAATTGCCAATGGGCCACAAAGAGACAGAGTTCGTGGTGGGACCTGAACTGATTCAGAGATGGGCCAATGTGCCAATGTGCCAATGGTGAGGTGAGGAAGTGGAAGGCATGCACGACTTCATTCTCTCGCCCGGATAATTGACGGTAAATGTGCAACGTCAGAGGAGGGCTCACCACGTTATTACGGAGCGAATCGTGCTCCGTTTTCTCTGGTGGGCATTGGGATGCCGTTATCCGAATGGCGGAGGGAATGCGGTAATTTCAGGAGCCGCCGAACTATTGTCGAGGAAGACAAGAGGCCCCGTGTGCAACATCCGAGCGGCACTTAGTTGGGACGAGAGCAAGGGAAGCGCTACGAGCACCCACCCATGGCATCACCAATTGGTGTAGAAAATCGTGACACAGGGGTGAGGCGAGTGCGTAATGGCATCGCGTGAGCGCAGATCGATCCTTTTGATGCAAAGCGCTGCGCGAGTTCGCTCCATGTGGGACTGCGAGCTTCGGTGCCAAACGCAAACATGGCATGTGCAGTCGCCGAGCGTAAGGGGAGAGGGAGGGCGGAATCTTTGAAACGTGAGAGCAGTGAGCAGCAGCAGCATGTTAGCCGAACCCTTTTCTCTCGTCGCCAAAGAAAGTTTCTGTTCGGGCAACATCCGAGGCAGAGTCTTCGCAGTGCAGCATTCTACAGGTCTCTCTCTCAGGGCCAATCGGAGAAGAGCGGCGTGGGTGTCAGTGGGCCCCGAGGCTCATCGGTGCGGTGCGGTGCGGTGCGGTGCAATCGTACCGAATTCTCGAATGGAACTTTCCGGCTCGCTCGCAAGTTGTACCTTCGTGGACGAAGGAGACGTCGGCTGAGAGGGGTCCCGCCATAGCTTCAACTCGGGAACGCCCCCATTGCTCAATTGGGGGGAGATGTGTGAGCGTTGGAGCCGTGAGGTTAGCCGACTGAATGTCGATCCAACGTTTAGGCTAATACACCGAATAGTTCTTGTACGGTTTCTGTTCAGCATACAGTGTTTGTGTTCTCAACGTACAGTGACATGTGTTTTCACATTTCACATTACATTCAATCGAATGAAGTGAATGTCATGGAACTGTGGCGGACTTTCCTTTCAGATCATGATGAATTGCAAACTTCGTAGTAAGCCACATCCGTTCCAACAAAACTTCATCTCTGTTTGAAGAAGAACTTCTAAAGAATGAATTACCGTCTCACTATTTGGACCTTTTTATTGTTTCAATCATGGAGAGCTTCTTGTTAGGAAGTATATGCATTATGTGAGAGGCATACAACTGACCAATCATCCCGTTGAACGAGACACCCCAAAAGTTGCCTATCTCAGCTATCTGCCTTCAATAAATTTCTTAAAATATTTGTTACTATAATATTGTTATCATCCAAGCCCATTCAATGGACCTGGATGAGAACAAGATGCAATGCAATGTAGTGCCATACATTTTATTCAAAACTCTATTACATTTTCCAACTGAGTATGCATCAACTTACATACCCAACGAACACTAATTACCATATGGATTCTCCAGACTACAGCTGTGCATAGAAAAAATAATTCGGTGGTAAAATTAATGATATTTGAGCTTGAACGGAACCGTGTTCTTCTTTGCAACTTTCCTTCGGTTGCTGTCTTACAGGTTGGATCTATAAAAGTCTCATGTGCAAGAAATACGCGTTAGTTTTCTACTCTCCTAGCATATGAAGTTCACATTGTAAGAATGTGACAACAAAATATAAGAAAAAAAATCTCACTTCATAAAAAATGTTCCTTCTTGCGAATATCTAATGGAGCCAAAAGAAATCACCTGAGTAACTTGGATTAATCCTAGTGAGAAAAGTTTAGATAGATAAATTTGCAATGAGGATTAGACTTGTGCCCTTACTTGAGCAAGATCAAAGGTTGGCTTTTGATCTTGTGTGCATACAGTCGTACATGAGTAATGTGCTGAATTTCTGACATACTTACAAGTATACCTGTTGCTAGATGTAAAACTTCATTCTTGCTGCAAGCAGTGAGTTGTTTATTTTGTGTTGGTCGTTGATTCGAACGAACACCTATGTCAACATGTGAAACGTAATCATCTAGCTCCCATTCTCCCGAATGCAGATTCATGTGACTAACAAGGGAATAACTAGTCTCCCACAACTTCGAAAAATTGCTGTTGTCAGCTATATTCTTTATATAGATAATCATTCTGAGTTTTCCTACGAGAAGAAGGCAGGAATTTAAATGGCTAAGATACCATAAAGTCTCCACACACATCTATAACTTTCTGTCAATGTGAGCTAGCTGGGTCTTAGGAGAGGTGTATGGGGATTTGAGTGATATACGATGATTAACCAGAGCCGCTGAAACAATGTCGCATGCTGCCTCTACATCCTGTATGTGAATGATTATTTATAAGTCGCCATGCACATTTATAACTCACTTTTCAAAGAGAGCTGGCTAGGACTTATGAGTGGTGGATGAGATAAAATCAGACTGAGATCGGTTGATCGAGGTGGAACACTTGTGAATATATTGTTCCAAGCTACCTCCCCAACCCCGCAAGAATGGATGGTTATCCTGTTGTATCTCATCTTGTAAAATTATGTATAAAATCTTGAGTCCCCGAAGGTACTCTAAGTACTCATGAATCCTTAGAATCTACATAACCTTCACCTTTATGTATTTTGGTGCTCATACTTGGCAACAACATGGCTTACTTTTCGACGCCTTCATCCTACATCTCGCAAGGGACATTCCGACTACTTAGTGACAAAATGAAAAACAAATTGCTGTGAGCCCATTATGTGAGTATTTTGAGTATCTCCATCCTGTATGTTCAATCTAGGTAATTTTTAGAGAGACTGTGGCTCAAAATGTGATCTAAAGTGAGTTAACATAATCACCGTAAAGCGCTTTCCCTCTGGACCCACCACCGAAAGGATACTGTACTTGTGTTTATTGCATGTCGCTGTATTAAATGTATGGAGTGCCGATGCCGATATTAGAGAGTTTCAACCTAGCAAGCTGGGGCATTGTTAACCATGTACACAGTATGTCCTCCAAGGAACGATGTTCGTATCTATCGTGGTAATCTAAAGCAGTTACATTGACACTGACCTTCTTATTGGATTCAGTCACTGACGAATCAACCGTAAAATATGAAATAGGATGCATGTCAAAAAAACACTTTGGCTTACCATAAGAATATCTACCAAATTTCCCAAATTTGTCTTGTAGGACGATATAGTAGAAATTTTATGCTGGATTAAATCGTCTAATATGTGTAGAGATATTATTGTGTCCATAAAATAGAACATGAGGTCGAGTCCAGATGCACTTCCTCATGCGTCTTGCAGCTATGGTAGAATCGCTGTGATTATATACGATATGAAATGCAGGCAAGGCCGTAATGTCGTGGTATGTCGTATTGTATCCGAAGGCAGGATCGGAAGCGTATTCGATTCACGAGGGGGCACAGCGGGAAAGACAAAGCGCGCCATGAATGCATGTGAAACAAGATGCACGATCGGGAGCTGCGAAGCGGGAGGGCGTCGTCCGGAGTTGACGAAGGTCGGTCGGTCTGAATGGTGCCACAGAGGTCGAGACGAGAACTCGACGTTCGAGCTCGATCGCCAGTGGTGGATCTCACGGGCTGGGGCTGCTGCTGCGGCTGCTGCTGGCTACATGCGGTGCAAGGGGTGGCATGGCAGCAGCCGCTTCCCTTTACGCAAAAGCTTTCGAACATCTGACCCGATCTGCCATCACGCCGACCCTAGCTCCCTCCTTCTCGCACTGCTTTCACCTCCGGTGCCCCTCCATCGCCGGGCCCCATCGTCCATCAGATCGCGCTGGTCGCGGTGTCGGGTCCGATTGCTGCGTGTGTTCATCAATTCGGTACTTTGTCTCCTCATTTTCTCCTCTCCTTCGAGGAAGAAATTATTATCTTGAGATGCGCAGCATTACTGTCACATATTCCTTCTTCTTTCAGTAACTACTTTCCTTATATTATGATATCACACTTTCCCATTTACTCAGAGCACGTGAGATTCGTTAAGTACGTCCGGCGCATATTCAACAAGTTAGGTCTGCCCGATCGTGTCAGGATTTTTTATTTAGCAAATGCAAGATGCGTATACAGAGCTCGCGAGGTTGTATTATAACATCGGGTTCATCGTTCTCTGCTCCTAGTGAGGTCCCACGTCCGCCTCCAATAACTTTAAATGCTACAGAGGGAGGGAGAATAACTCACAAACAATTCAGACATTTTTTGTCTAGATTCAACGCTGATGATGGTCTCTTTCAACCAGAGGTCAACATTTTACTTCAAATTTGAACCCAGACTAGACCTGTGCCCACCCATGCTCTTCAAAATACACCCATGTATTTAAAAATTGTATAAACCTCGTAAGACTCAGTTTGGTCGTCAGAATTTGCTCGATTTTAACATTCAAGTCATGGTTTCACTTGTAGTATTCCAACTCTCATATGTCGTGTTGTCGGATGTTGAGAGCGTGGAAACGAGATGGCTGAGGTTGGTTCAGTCTTCTATCTAATTGTTACGCGTAAGTTATCATTGACTGAAGTGTCCAGGTCTCAAACAATATTGATGACCATGGATAAGTATCCATTTGGAAGCTATGCTCATCCAACCCCACCAGGAAATAATAACCACCCATGGGCACTCAATGTTGGGCTCTGGTATAACCAAATCCGTAAGAGAAGATATATGTCGGCCCAATGCAGCAACAAACCATACGATCATTTTTTAACAAAGCCCAATGTTGTCTCTCATGAGTAATAATCTTATACCTTTCAAGTTAGAAGAGGCTTTCGGAAGAGTAAATCTGTCCAGTTCAAGTCTGTACTGTACACATTTGTGAGATCTTAGGCCCCAGAAAACGGTATGTACGGATCATTATTGTGAATCGACTTGAAGTGCATAAGTGCACACCTGTCTACAGAAGTGGTATCCAACATACTGTACTGTTAGTCCATCACCCAAAGTGAAGAACTTCAGAGAACAGACTTCTGTCCAACTTAACTCCAAGTTGAGATTCTCAAGCTTGATTCTATTCTTCGAGACTTTTGCGTAACAGATATGACCGATGACATATGGGAGTACGGATAAAAGCATTGTACTGTACCTTAAGGAGTCAAAATGTCAAGGTGTGACTGTTTCGATGTGTCAGTTCACGGCACTTCAATCTGATTCGTCCACAGTTTCTGCTAATTTACTGTTCATTCATTAGATGGTTCTCGGTAGGAAATTTTAAGATTAGGTCTCTACTCATGGGGCGAACACTCTACTCTAGTTTATGTATTCTAGATTTTCCATTCAACTGTTTCTCAATGAGGAGAACTTTCTTCCTGACTTTATCAAATTTAATCAGAACGATATATTTTTGAGCAACCTTTGCAAAAAGATACTTTACAAAAGAAGAAGGTTCTCTACCCTGAAGGATATCTCAAAGAAATTTTTTCCCCAATATTATGTGTACACTCAACTCCAATAAAGATGCGATGAAGCTGGAGGTAGTAGCTACTGGTCGTATGGAAGTTTCGATAAAATTCTCAGCGATGCTGAAAAAGCCTTGAGATTGCATTTAGTATGTCCTATCCAGTGGGCTGCAATATCCTCTTTTTCGCAAGATTTGTGAGAATCGAATTCCCTTTATTTTCTGATCGTAATCGAGTATTTTATATCTTGGGATATTATGCTTAGATTGTCCTTGGCTGTTAAAGAAATTTGTATCGTATGTGAAAGTACGATGTGAATCTATTGTGATTTCGTTCATCGGAAATGTGAAAGCAGTTTGGAGGTTGTCAGGATCTCTTCTTTCAAAAGCAAAATTTTAGCAGGAGATGCCAGCAGGTACATCTCCGTGTAAAGTATAATTCAGAAAAGGCATGATGAGAACCAAGACAATGTTGCGCCAATTGGCCAGTTTGGCCTGTTCTTAGCCGTATACCTGCTCTCGCATGTAGCAGCTTTGAGAATAGGAGAGCAAGCGTTAGCATCTTCCCTGCACCTTTACCCAAAAGTCTGTCAAGTAATGACAAATTCTGAGGGATTATTGTCACAAGTCGTTCCATCACATCTCATGAGAAGGGAACTGAAACCGATTTTGTAAGCTGATTCGCAACCTCCCCTGAATGTGGTGATCTTCGAAGCTGAAACAGGTGAGAGAAAGTCGCAGGTGGCGACTTTCTTTCTCCCGGCATGTCTGATCAGGTTAGCTAGGTAGTACCAGGAAAGCTTAATAGGATTTATGCCAAGGCACGCAGGTGTTGAGCCTGTCAGCCTTGTGAACTGTCGTATATAGTCACTTAGATCTTGAAACATAGAAAAGCA